CTACACGTACGTATTTTCGATTTTTATTATTACTATACCGTATTATCGAAGCTTTTTCTATTATTTTATTATCAAAGCATACAAGATAAAATAGGTCCAGAGGAGGACAGACGTGATTTCAATTCCGCCGTGAAATTAGACTAATGGCGTGGGACATGGCCGGGGAAGTAAATGCAAGGTTTAGACCGGGCCCCGAGATAAAACTTTAATTCCGCACTTCCAGACATTGCGCCGGAGGAAGGGCGAAGTAAAGAAAAAAGAAGCAAAAAAAGAAGAAAGAAAGAAAGAGAGACGGGAACAGGAAGCGCGCAGTTTACAGGGAGGGACCCTCCTCCCCCCTCGGCGTCCGCGGGCGGAGTGAGAGCGGGGAAAAACTTCCGCGAAACTTCGCCGCGGTAGAGGAGTGGGGATAGGGGCGCTGCGGGGCGGGGAGGGGGGGGGAAGCGGCGAATTTACGGCCCCGCGAGGGGGTATAAAACCCGGCTGATTCGTTTATCGGCACCACTTCGCGGTGAGGTCCCGTGGGGTGCGGAGGGTCCCGCTCTATGGGACAGGGCTCTCATGGGGTATGGGAGCTCACGAGGATGCGGCGACTTATTGAAACCCTGATGGGTTATATGTATGTATATATGCATGGGTTTTTATATATTTGTACCGTGGAGGTAAAGGCCCTTTAAAGCGATACGCGCCGTCAAAGAGGTCACATTCGTGGGAACTTTTCTCCTAGCCGATAATAATACCGATTTTCTTAAAATTTCCTTATAGATACTTTCAAGATCAAAGTAAAGAATGAAATCTCATGGCTATATCATCCCCCCGAAATTCCGATGACCCCGTCATAGAGTGTACCCCCGAGAAAAATTAACTAAACAATAAACGACAATTCTATTTTGCAAATTAAATTTCATTTCCCATTACCCTCCACTCGATTCTGGGTAATAAACACATTGTCAAGCCCTGTGTCAGGGTACACCGCGGAAGGGCTTCGGTAATAATGTCAGTACATCATACGGCATACCTATATATATATATACGTTATCAAATACCTACGCAAAACCTCTCCGTCACGTAATACTCACCTAAGTGGCATTAATGGCTGTAATTACATGACTCGTATTAATTGGGGGAAATTACATCGAATTAGAGGACGCGGGGCTATTACACGCGGTCGGTAGTGAAGAAATCTGCGGAGAAGCGAGATTCCCCCCCTGCTTCCCCCTCAGCGTGGTTTGAAATTTCCGGGTGTGCGGGATGGGGAAGGGGGTTGGGGGGGGAAGTCTTTAAGCTCGCGTCCGAGGGTGCTCGAACGAGAGCGAGAAGCGCGGTGGAGCGCGAAGAGTAATGGGAGGGGAAGTCGGGATAAAGGGGGGAAACAGTCGAAAAGTGAGAAAGAGAGAGAGAGAACGAGAGAGGACAGAAGGTAAGGAAGGAAGAGGGAGGGATCATTCAAGTAATGCGAGATAATCGGTGTAGGTCGGTTATTAATTTCACTGGGACGACTACTTTTTTAGGTTAAGTCCGGTCGGATGCGCGCGCAGCTTGCGTCTGGGATAAATTTCCCGATTATTTGCGAATGGAAGGGGAGAGGAAATGACACGGAGAGTATAATTTAGGATTTCGCCGCGGGTCTCGGATTCCCGAGCGACTCCACCTTTTTTTAAGGTTATGTCGGGGGATGCCGGAATGGTAAATCGGGAATCCTCGGACGGTTTTTTCCCGGTGCTTTTGTCAGTCTCCTGCGAGGCCGACGGGTTCGATTTTCCGCGGTTTTTTCGCTCCGTCATTCCGACGGATTCGTCAGGAAGTGTCGGGAAGAGCGCGAACTCGAGAGCGAGGGAGACGGAGCGATGCGCGCGCCGTAAGAGTGAGTGAGACGTAACGATCCGCGCGACGCAAGAGCGAGCGAGACGGAGGGACCCGGATAGTGAACCGAAAGATGTGTACCCCCCGTACGAAAATACACGAATAATCCCCGCGCCCACGTGTGTACGTCGAATCGAGCATTCCCGATGTCACTCCCCCGCGGGGGGGTGGGGGTGGGGGGGGGGAGGTTCGGTCTCGTCGCTTTAATTCCGGCGGGTCGCCGCGCTCCGTGTCTCTCGCCCGGGCGAACAAAGCCCTCCGAAAATGACGAGCGCCTCCTCGAGCCACCCCTCCCGAACGCCCGCGCGCTGACCCGCACCGACACGTCCTCTCGGTGCGCGTGCTCGGCGCAGACTGACCGCTGCCGCGGAACGAGCGACCGCAGGGTCACGTGGTCCGGGGCCTAACGGAAAGCCGCGCGCCCTTATTGGTCGAGCCCTCCATTCCCCTGGTCCGGCCGGTAAGAAAGAGAAAAAGAACTCCAGAAATTCAGGAAACAACTCCCCGTGGCCTGCAATTTGAAAATACATCCACCGGCATAATACCTCATCGCATAAAAAAATCCAGCTCAACAGCTGTCCATAAAGAAAAGAAATAAAAAAGGGAAAAAAAAATCATAACTTCCCCATTACCTTTGGTGCACATCCATCATCCTTTATCATCAATCACTTCACTTCCATTACCACCCTACATTGCCATCAGCTCTTAGTTATCACTGTTTCACTTTAATTCCCCGGCAAGTACGATTCCGCAATTTCAGCCGCATCCCTTTTTACGCAAATGGAGTTACCACGGAGACGAGAACCCTCGAGCGAGGCTGCAAAACCATTTTTCCATTCCTGCCCTCTTCTCCCCCCCTTACCCCCTTTTACCCCCTTTCCACATTTCCATCGATTTGCATTGCCAGGAATCGTCCCTAAGCCCTAACCCGATATGCGACTCGTGAAAAGCCAATAAGGGGGTCTTATCTCGGGGGGTGGTCCCCCCCATTGTCCACGACATCCCCCACGACCCCCTACATGCCTTCGACGATGCCGTTCCTCGTTCTAGGGATCTGTGATGGTAAAAGCTCCAGGATCCCGAATATAAGTGAAGGCTTTTCGGCTTTTCGAGGGGGGGAATTTATTTCGGGGGAGGGTTAGTATAGAGGTAAAATACTGGGGGGGTGAATGGAGTGTTTATGCACTGATAAGAATATTTCATTGCTCTCGGGAAATATTTTCTTAGTTCACTCTTTTTTTTTTTTTGGTTCCAGTGTGGTCAATGAGAAATAAGGAGCGACTTTTTTTTTAAGGGGGGATTTTCAGGTCGAGTCTCGACGGACGTTCGATATTCGAAAATCATGATTTCCTCGAAATTGTGACTATTAATTTGAGTGAAATAATTATTGCTTCGAATTACCGAAACATTTTATCGGGGCAATGGATTGGCTTTTGCAGCGTGGTCTGTGAGAAAGAAAGGGCGAATTTTTCTTTTTTCTTTTTTTTTTTTGAGGGGCGATTTTGAAGTCGTGTCTCGATATTCGAAAATCGAAGTCCCTTTTCGCCTTTTCAAATGATAGAGGCGCGAAGCGCGTTTTGTGCTCCTTCGGGGCTCCAGATTGCTCTTCTCTTTTTTTTCATCTCCGGACGCCCCGGCGAAAGTCATTCGATCCTATCGATCTCTGATGTCGCGATTATCGAGAGGCATGGAGATTCATCTCGGGGCCCGTTAAAAGACACGAGGAATCCGCGTCGCGATATTACTCGGAGTAATCGTCGGGGGTAAAAATTGCACCTTTGTCGCTGATTAAACGGACGAGCATCGGAGAGAGAGAGAAAAGATGGAGGAAAGGCAAGACGCATGTATATAAATAAACATGTACATATATTGTATATTTATTCGTAGAAATACATGTTTAAATATATATATTTCTTTTTTTCTATACGTTTCTACATGCATCTATGTATCTATATATTTTTTTTTTTCATGTGAGAGGGAGAGAGATGGCGACTTTAGAGGCAGCAGTCACAGATTAGCCCGGGAGAAAGGGGGCGGAAAAATAAGGGATGATTCTCATAGTCACCCCAGAGATAGATTGGACCTAGATTTCAAATTATCGGCGATATCGCGAATATAGAAAGTGTGATGCGTCTCGTCGCTCGCCCTGGTGGTCAGACGTGCAACTCGACTCCGGTGAAAATGCGAAATGGGAGCAGGTCTCGCAGTTTCACACTTTCACCGGGGTGAAAATGTGAGACATATCACGCGAGGACAGAAAATGTGAAACATGTCACGCGGGCATAGAAAATATAGCGATGAGTGAAATAGGCTCGATTTTGTATGTGACATTAAAAAATGATGAACGAAATATTAAAAAATTATGAACAAAANGTACTCCTCAGAAAAATCGATATCTTCACCCTTTCGCTAAGTGGAACCCCCTTAAGGCGAAAATTCCAATTATTGATATCAGTGGAATTATGAACATTATCGAATTTCCGGGGAAAGGGGTTATTGTTATCCGCGGGGGGCGCCCTTAATCCAACGTCTCATTCAAAGGGGTTGAAAGGGGTTGAAATAGCGATTGAGAGTTCCCTCGGTGCCTTTTAATCGAACGTCGAGTGCAGCCCCAGGGGATGTTCGACTTGCTTTGGATCGCGGGGGCAATTTTGCCCCCGACGACCTTTCAACCCCCCCGGCCCTACCTCGATTTGGTGCCCCTACATAAAGGGAGGAAATAGAATAACACGAAATGCGACGATTAATACGGGGGCTAAGTGTAAGTGTACAAAATGACCAGGGTTAATCTCGATTAACTAGGGGGTTGAATAACCCCAGGAGCTTTTTAATCGAACGTCGAGTGCAGTCCTGGGGGATGTTAGACTCGTCCCGATCGCGGGGGCAATTTTCCCCCCGACGTCCTTTCATCGCGTCATCTCCGAGGGGATGATGTCTTCTCACCGTGATGTAAACATGGGAAATGAGGGATAAAAACGGGGGGATGAAAATAAGGGATGGTTGATAAGGAATGAAATATTCGAAATCGTGAATAATTAATTTTTAAGGGTAAATAAAAATTCAAGGTATGAGAGGGTTGCTTGGATTTTAATATAATGTATGCATGGGAAATGAGGGATAAAAACGGGGGGATGAAAATAAGGGATGGTTGATAAGGAATGAAATATTCGAAATCGTGAATAATTAATTTTTAAGGGTAAATAAAAATTCAAGGTATGAGAGGGTTGCTTGGATTTTAATATAATGTATGCATGGGAAATGAGGGATAAAAACGGGGGGATGAAAATAAGGGATGGTTGATAAGGAATAAAATATTCGAAATCGTGAATAATTAATTTTTAAGGGTAAATAAAAATTCAAGGTATGAGAGGGTTGCTTCGATTTTCCACCCCTTGTTGGAACACCCCCTGTAATTCGATGTACGGGAGATATGAATAAAGTATGGGAAGTGATGAATAATATATGTTATACAATAAATATAAATTGTGATAGGAGATATCGAGGCTGAGAGAGAATCCTTGATTTTCCTCCTCTTTCGGGTCCAGTACTCTCTCCTATAAGAAGGAATAAAAAAAAAAAAGTTGACTTCAATAAATGATAAATAATGAATATGGAGTGGTAAATAAAAACGGGGAGAGGAAGTATCGAGGAGGTTCTCTCGATTTTTCTCCCCCTTTCGGGGGTTCGATCTTTCCCGACGTAAGGAAGAGATGAAATAAAAAGTATAAGTAATAAGTAATGAATATGGAGAGGTAAATAATAATATCGATGGGAGAAAATACCGTGGTTCGATGAACTCCTTAGATTTTCCACCCCCGTTTTCCGCAGATCGGCTCCTAGCATCTGAACGTAAGGAAAATAACAGTAATAAAGTGCAATAAATAATAAATAGTGGATACAGAAAATATATAAATAATTTAAGGAGGAAATACCTTGACCGCATGCACTTTTCCGATTTTCTTTCTTTCCTTCGTGGATCTGTTACACTTCGTTCTGACATATGAAAGAAAAGGAATAAATTACAATGATAGGGATAATAAAATTATAATAAATAAATATACCTGTGGAAGAAATACCTCGATTCGGAGTCCTCCGAATTTTCTTCCCCTTTCCATCTAATCAGCTGATCTCGTCCTGACGTAAGGAAGGAAAAAAAATCATAATAAAATGCAACGATAATAGTAGGAATAATAAATAAACGGAAAAGATATAATAAATATAAATGCACAAAATAAATATAAATGCACAAAATAAATATAAATGCACAAAATAAATATAAATGCACAAAAATAAATATAAATGCACAAAAATAAATATAAATCCAAAAAGAAAATACCTCGATTCATCGAGCGTTCCCGATTTTCGCCTCCTACGGGAGAATCGAATGGGACAGGACATTCCGGATACCGGAAGGACCTTCCCAGGACGCGTTTCCGGTGGCTGGTCCCAACGAGAAACGGCATGTCGACGAGGCGAGCTGTCGACTCTCGTTTTATCCCCACCTCGTATGAAACTCGCGGGGACATCGTATGAACCTTCTGTGAACCTTGCATGTACCCAATATGTACTCACTATGTACGTGGCTATGTACCAAGCGAGGCCACGCGCGCTTATCCGCGTCCGCAGGGGCCGAGTGTACACATCCTGGACGATCGTTTATTTATAAAGCGATTCGCGATAATCAATAATCAATTCCCCCCGCTTCTTCCCCCAGCACCGCGAAAATGAACCCTGGGGCGGGCGCCCCGTTTCCGTCCATTCCCACCCACCGCCTCCCGCTGGCGACATGAGACGCGAGTTGCTATTCGTGTCTCTGTCTTTCCCCCGGCCGCCCCTATAGCTCCACCTTCGTCGCACTCATTGAGACGCCAGCCCAAGTCGGTTAGCGCCCCGCGGATCCGCTGATGGGGCTTTTCCACCCCTTCCGACAATTTCCCCGCTTTGGCAGCTGCGGAGGAAACCTTCCGGGATGTTTTTTAACAGTTTTTCTCTCTCACCTTTTTTATTTTTTTTTAATCTTTTTCCTCCTTTTCGCTTTTTCGCGAACGCGGCGTGTGCTTCTCCTCTGTGGACCGTTTCCGGTTCTAATGGCCAATGATCTGCTGATGGCTTTTTCTCACCCCTTCCGACAATTTCCACACCTCTGACAGATGTGAAAGAGACTTTTCATTCTTCTCTTCTTTCTATGCGAAATTTATTTATTTAATTTGAGCGCTTATTTCGAAGTATCGCGCGGATCAGCTGATGGCGTTTTTCCACCCCTTCCGGAAATTTTCCCATTTCGACAACCGTGACAGGGGGAGCTTCTCGGGTGACATTTGAAAGATTGAAATATCTCGTGATAACCAACGCGCCCCACTTTCTACGTGTCTAATATCCCGCGAATCATCTGATGGCGTTTTTTCTCCCCTTCGGAGAATTTTCATATTTTGACAGGTACGGAGAGAGAAAAAAAAAAAAAAACAGCCTTTCAGAGAATTCAATCGCGTCCTCCCTTTTTCCTCTTTCATACACGTGGCATCCCCCCTCAATTTCGATATCCCCCTCTCCCTCTTTTTCCACCCTTCCCGCCCTTTTCGATTCGACAGCCGAAAACATATTCCCGAGCACTTCTTCCATTTTCATACTCTCTATCCGCATGACATATATGCAAATTCACAATAGAGGGGCAATTACCCCCGACCCCCCTCAAGGGGTGGCATTTACAATTACAAACTTTCATGGTTTACTGGGACCCCCCGCAAGGCTCTCGAATTAAGTTTCGACGAGGAAGGGAGCTCCATTAAATGTCACCCCTACACCCCATGGGGTGGGAAAACTTTTCACCCCCCCCCCCCGGAAGAATACCTTCGATGATAAGCGCTAACCCGGAAACTCGATTAACGGGGTCGAAAGAAGCCATGGGGTGTGTGGTTTGCATTTACGTATTCGGTGTGTACACGGTTTACAACCCTCCGGGGGGTGGGTCCCCCAAGTCTATCTAACTTTTTCGGCCCTTTCCCCTTTGTGGGGTCGGAATATAAAAGGGGAATTATCCTTAAAAAAGAAAAATGAGAGAAAGAAGTAGCAACGTTCTGGAAATCTAAAGTATACATCGCGGAAAGTTACTACACGGGAAAATAGGCGATGAATCTGAAATTTCGGGAAATTTCGGAGAATTTCCGAGAATTTCCGAGAATTTCGGAGAATTCCCTGGGACACTAAAGCCGCAGCACAAGGTGGAACGCCGCAAAAGGAGGTTAACCTCGAGGTGGTCTCCGAGGACCTCCGAGAATACGGAATGTCAAAATTCCTGGAATATCATAATTCATGGAATTTCAAAATTCCTGGAATATCAAAATTCCTGGAATGCCAAAATTCCTGGAATTTCAAAATTTCAAGGCAACCACCCCGAGAAAGAAAAATTCACTTAACCAAAGAAATATTTCTTTGAATAGTGCCTCTATAAATATTTTCTTAATTTTTGAGTAACAATTAAGGCTTCAAAGGACACAGTTAACCCATTTTGAAAAAAGTTCCCCAAACGAGACCCTTAAAGACCCCACTTGAACATCACCTTAAGTGCTTAACATCTTGTTACGCACTATTAACAACTGTATTAACTCCCTCCTCACAAGACTCATAGAGTTCAATTTTAATTACAACGATTTCAATTTTCAGTTATTCCATAGCTTAACACACAACACAATCACGAGAAGGGTCAGTCTCTAATACCCCCAGTGGACTCCCAGGAACACGAGAGCCACGCCGACCAACTTGTTGCATAACCTCAAAGTACCTCCACAATTAAGCCAGACTCCGAAATCCTCGGGGATTTCACCAAGAAACTCAACCAGAAGTCAGGAAATCCCCCGGGAACCGTCCCTCCCCACGTTTCCCACAAAATGAAAAAGAAAACCCGGACGTTTCCACTTTTCGTTTCCTCGCTAGGTACAATCAGGACCAGATAACCTCAAAACCGTAAACTGTGAGCATAAACTTAAATTCCTCTCACAAAATAAGTAATTTCCGGAAAAATTTCCAAAATTGCGAAAAATTTCGATTAAAAACATTATTACCCCCGGGAAACTCGCTTATTACAATTATTATCGTTTCTGTATAAGACATTAGATAAAAGTTCGAGATAAAGTCTGAAGAAAAGAGGGTCGCGGGGGTCGGGCCTCCCGGGAAAAGTTATGCGACCCCCTGAGCCCTTGGGGAGGTTTCAACCCCCCAAAAGCCCCCCATGTGAGAGAGATGCCACGTGGGGGCAGTAACACCCTCCAGTGACCCGGAATATGAAGAAACTTGGACACTCGGGTCTCCGGGGTGGATTTCACCCCAAGGGAGGACACCCCCCAAAAGTCTTTAAACTTCCTCGACACCCTCAAAACCGCGAACTACAATCACCCCTTGTTTGCAGCGGTTCCACCTGTTCGCTTCCACCCCCGGATTACCCGGATACCGCCTTGGGGGGGTTTCGTGACTTGCCGCCCTTCCCCCCAAGAGAGGGAGGGGAAACTCACCCACGTGCGTCACTCACTCCCGAGTCACCCCTTTCGACCTTAAGGGGATGTGAAAGTGACATTTGAGGGGTCGTGTCACTTTCCTCCGAACTGGGTTTACCGAATCGTTTGAAATTTAATATCGTGAATATGGAGGCTATAAGGAAGGTCCCGACACCCATGAATTTTCAATTTTCACCCTAAATTTTAAAAATATCTATTAACAAATTTTTTTTATTTAAAATCTCAACGACGGCGGAAACCTCCCTTATAGTCTTGACATTCATATTGTGATGTTTGAAGCGATTCGGTACACCCAGTTTGGAGGAAAGTTTCATAAAAGAGAGTACTTTGACGGCACTTTCGCATCTCCTTAAACCACCCTTATATTAAGACCTTCCAGGTACACCCTTAACCTCCTCTTATAACTTCCCCTCATTTTTCATTTTATACCCACTCTTGTGTTTTTATGTTCATGATCTTTCATCTTTTTAATTTACTTTCATTATTTCGGGGGGAGGTTTAATATTTAGCGTGAGGTGACACCAAGGGTGTCAGTTGCACCAATTTTGCACGTCTCGGGGGGCGGGTCGGGGGTGGTGGACTCGGACTGCCGGAGTACCTGCTATCGTGTGACCGGGGGCAGAGGGTGCGCCGTCATGTCGCTGCGCCGTCCGACTGAGCACTGAGGCCCGGCCGCGGCCGCTACCCCCTCGCCGCCTACGCCGCCACCGCCGGCGGCGCGCGCATCGACGCGAGCGGCGCGCGCAGCCACCCTACGCCGCTGTCCGGTCACGTTCAAACGCGCCGCCGAAAAGGGAGGAGACGCGCGCCGACCGTTGACCAGGACGCATCCCTGAAGCGCCTCCAGATAGTGGTGTCCCTGAAAAAAAAAAAATAAAGAGGGAATTCAACTCATTTTCTGCGTTAAGGTGATATGACAGGGTCATTCTATATATGTATAAAACCTAAATATATTTGCTCAGCTTTTTTCCAAACTGCACAGAATCATTTGAAACTTCGGCACGTGATTATGGAGGCCCTAAGGAAGAACCAAGGCACTTTTCCAGGACTGTATAAAATTCATAAGGTTGTATAGGATTGTGTAAAATTGTATAAAATTGTATAAAATTCGGTGCTACCCATGCCCACCCTCGAAATAGATTATTCACCCCTCTTTGTTTCAATTGTTTTTAATTTTCCTATATTTTCATAAAACAGCGCGTAATGGGAGTCTCGTGTAAAAATGGTGCCAGGAGTTTGCGTATTCATTTATACGAGTTTCCTCGAGTTTCCCTTTCCCGGGGGATGAAATGGCGTTCATAAAGGGTGGCAATTTCCGGAGTATCGGAGCCGATCGAGTGTTAATAAGTTACTCGAATAATTACGATCGCCCGACAATGGAAGAATGGGAAGCATTGTTTCCAGCTCCAGGTCGAGTTTACGAGGAAATAGAAATTATGCTTTCCCGTTCCTCCCCTTTTCCTTCCCATTTCTTCTTCTGGTCGAATAGGAGGGAGCCATTGCCTTTTAAGGGTTCAATCTCGGGCTCATAAAATGCTGGAATTTCAATGGGTCCTCGAAAGAACCGAAAAAGGACGACGTCCACCCCCTGGCCCTCCTTATTTCCATGAACTTCCTCTCAGGAAAAATCAGAACTACATTTCCCTTTGCATATATCGTTATTCCGTCGATTTTTCCCGCCCTTTCGACTGAATTTTCCATTTTCTGGGTACATGTCCTCGGGGGTGCTTTAAAGTCCTTCAATACACCGATAACCCTATCTTTATTTCAACTGATCCTAAGGACGGAGAAATAATTTTCCCCTCCTAAATGATAAGAGATAAACTCCGAATTTCTTCATTTTCATCCCTCCTCTTTTATTAACTTTCGTCGCTTTCGATTTAGTATCGTATCCTTCGAAGAAATACCCCCAAAATTTCATCCCTTAATTTCCAATGGTTATCGTCCTTTCTTATC